TTTTCTTAACAATGTTGGCCAGGCTGGTCTGAAACTCCTGACCTCAGGTAATCTGCCTGCCTTGGCATCCCAAAGTGCTGGGATTACAGGATATTTCATAATCATCAAAGAGTTAATCCATCAAGTTTTAAAAGCCCTAAATGTGGATGCAGTTAGTACCTTACATGGGAGCTTCAAAATACATGAAGCCAAATCTGATAAAACTAAAAGGTGAAAAAGACAGATCCCCGATTAATAGTTGAAGATGTCCGCATTCTGCTGTCAGCATCTGATGAAATAAGGAAATGATGTAGAAAACCTGCAAGACTGGCTGGGCATGGTGGCTCATGCCTGTAATCCAGCACTTTGGGAGGCCCAGGCAGGTGGATCACCTGAGGTCAGGAGTTCAAGACCAGCCTGGCCAACATTGTAATTTTGTAAAAATACAAAAATTAGCTAGGCATGGTGGTGCATGCCTGTAATCCCAGCACTTATGGATGCTGAAGCAGGTAGATCACCTGAGATCAGCAGTTTGAGATCAGACTGGCCACCAACATGGCAAAACCCTGTTTCTACTAAAAATATAAAAATTAGCTGGGCATGGTGCTGCACTCCTGTAATCCTAGCTACTCGGGAGGCTGAGGCACAAGAATCACTTGAACTCAGGGGGTGGTGGTTGCAGTGAGCCAAGATCACGCCACTGCACTCTAGCTTGGGTGACGAAGTGAGACTCTGTCTCAAATTAAAAGGAAAACCATAGAAGGGGAGAGACCAGGGCTGGGGCTGGATTCCAGGATTTCTGACTTCCTTCCACGTTCTTTCCACCCTTCCTAAAGTTCATGATTCCAGCAGCGAGGTCATCATACTGCAGAAATAGTTACAGGCACCTGCTGGTGTATGTAAGGCACCTTCTGGGAAGGGCCGTCAGCTGTGTCCTCCTCTGATCCTGCCCTCTGGGGTTCTTTTCCTTGCAGGCTTGTCGGACGCCCAGCCGGGATGAGGCTGGGGTGGAACTGCTGATGACGTACTTCATCCAGCTGGGCTTCGTTGAGAGTCGATTCTTCCCACCCACGCGGCAGATGGGACTCCTGTTCACCTGGTAGGTGCTTGAGGTCTGTGCTGGCACTTCACATGCCACAGCAACCACAGCTTTGGAGCCTCAGCATCACAGATGCCCCTCTGTGGGTGCTCCCGTGTACCTCAGCCCCCTTTCCTATCTTGCATTTATCTGGGGGAAGTCTAAAAAGATGTCAGTACATTGGTATTTATTTATCAAGGGGATCCGGGGGGAGATGGCTCCAACAGACCGTGGCCTCTTGCTTCTCAGAACAAGGGAGCCAAGGAGAAGAGACATTTTTTCTTGCTTGTTGTATCATTGGGAAGCACGGGGGCTCTGAGGTGCAATTAGCCAGAAGCAAAATTCTTGTCTCAGATTAGACAGGGGCATGCGTGTGTATGTGTGAGAGAGAGAGAGAAAAAAAATCAGGTTTTGTTCAATGAGACAAAAGCACCAAACAGAAATAGATCAGGTTTCATTTGAAATGGGGTCTCACTATGTTGCGCAAGCTGGTCTTGAATTCCTGGGCTCAGGTGATCCTTCCACCTCAGCCTCCTGAGTAGCGGGACCACAAGCATGAGCCACGTACTCAGCTTTGATCAGATTTTAAAAATGTAAGCAGAGCCGGGCGCGGTGGCTCAAGCCTGTAATCCCAGCACTTTGGGAGGCCGAGGCGGGTGGATCACGAGGTCAAGAGATCGAGACCATCCTGGTCAACATGGTGAAACCCCATCTCTACTAAAAACTACAAAAAATTAGCTTGGCATGGTGGCACGTGCCTGTAATCCCAGCCACTCAGGAGGCTGAAGCAGAATTGCCTGAACCCAGGAGGCGGAGGTTGCAGTGAGCCGAGATCGCGCCATTGCACCCGACCCGGGAACAAAAGGCGAAACCCCGCCTCAAAAAAAAAAAATGTAAGCAGAATATTTGATTCTTCTCCCCAATTGCTGTTTCCAGACGGGATCAGGCATGTCAGGGTGGTATGACCTTAGATCCAGTCGCTATTTTCAAAGATTAATATAGTTTAAATACTTTGGAGGCCGAGTGCAGTGGCTCGTGCCTGTAATCCCAGCACTTTGGGAGGCCGAGGTGGGCGGATCACTTGAGCCCAGGAGCTCGAGACCAGCCTGGGCAACGTGGCAAAACCCTGTATCTAGAAACAATACAAAAATTTGCTGGGTAGGATGGTATGCACTTGTAGTTCCAGCTACTTGGGAGGCTGAGTCAGGTGAATCATTTGAGCCTGGAAGGCAGAGGTTGCAGTGGGCGGAGATCCGGCCACTGCACTCCAGCCTGGGTGATAGGAATGAAACTGTTTCAAAAAAGGAAACAACTTAAAGTTATTTTGGAGATGCACACCCTTTCTCTGAGTGTCCCTAGGAGTGTCAGTGAAAGGAGCACACCTCCTAGTAGGTCAGGGGTGTATCAGAATTAAAATTTTCCACGGCGGATGGATGGCTACTGATGCCTACCTGATAGAAAGCAAAGGAAAGGGAGGTGACTTTTCATAAAAATGCAGCAGGCTGTCTGCATGGCTGAAAGGGTGAAAGGCGGTTCTTCCTTACTCATGAATTAGGGAGAAGCTGTCTGCACACCCCCTGGTTCATGGGAACTTTAAAACAAGTCCTAGGGCCAAGCCCAGTGGCTCACGCCTGTAGTCCCGGCACTTTGGGAGGCTGAGGTGGGTGGATCACCTGAGGTTAGGAGTTTGAGACCAGCCTGACCAACATGGCGAAACCCTGTCTCTACTAAAAATATAAAAATTAGCCCGGGGTGGTGATGGGCGCTTATAATTCCAACTACTTGGGAAAGCTGTGGCAGGAGAGTTGGTTGAACCCCGGAGACGGAGGCTGCAGTGAGCTGAGATGGTGCCACTTCACTCTAGCCTGGGCACAAGAGCGAAACTGTCTCAATCAATCAATCAATCAATCAATAAAACAAGTCCTAGAATGGGTATGGTAGCTCACATCTGTAATCCTAGCATGTTAGGAGGCCAAGGTGGGTATATTGCTTGAGCCCAGGAGTTTGAGACCAGTCTAGGCAACACAGTGAGACCCCATCTCTGCAAAACAATTAGGGAAAATTTGCTGGGCATGGGTGGTGCATGCCTGTACACCCAGCTACTTGGGAGGCTCAGCTGGGAAGATCGCTTTTAAGCCCAGGAGGTCGAGGCTGCAGTGAGTCATGATCACGCCACTGCACTCCAGCCTAAGCAACAGATGAGACTTTGTCTGAAAAAATAAAGAAGTAACACAAATCCTGAGTTTTTAGATTTCAGGAAAAATTATGAGGGGTTAGCAATTACCGTATTTCATTTAGGAGGAGCTATATATATGTGTGTGTCTGTGTGTGTGTAGATATATACATACACGTATACACATACACCTTTTTTTATTGCATTTTAGGTTTTGGGGTACATTTGAAGAACATGCAAGATAGTTGCATAGGTACACACATGGCAGTGTGATTTGCTGCCTTCCTCCCCTTCACCTATATCTGGCATTTCTCCCTATGCTCTCTCTCCCCAAGTCCCTACCCCTCACTGTCCCCCCACCATTCCCCCAACAGACCCCAGTGTGTAGTGCTCCCCTCCCTGTGTCCATGTGTTCTCATTGTTCAACACCCGCCTATGAGTGAGAACATGCAGTGTTTGATTTTCTGCTTTTGTGTCAGTTTGCTGAGAATGATCGTTTCCAGGTTCATCCATGTCCCCAAGGACACGAACTACACACACACTTTTTTTTTTTTTTTTTTTTTTTTTTGTTTTACTTTTTCCCCCCGGCTGGAGGGTAGTGGTGTGATCTTGGCTCAATGCAACCTCCACCTCCCAGGATCAAGCCATCATCCCACCTCGGCCTCCCAAGTAGGGATTAAAGGCACATGCCACCACACCCCGCTAATTTTTTGTATTTTTGGTAGAGACAGGGTTTCACTATATTGCCTAGATTGGTATTGAACTCTTGAACCCACCTTGGCCTCTAAAGTGCTGGGATTACAGGCATTAGCCACCATGCCTGGCCCACATTTTTTTTTTTTTTTTTTTTTTGCAATGGAATCTCGCTCTGTTGCCCATGCTGGAGTGCAGTGGTGTGACCTCAGCTCACTGCAACCTCCGACTCCTGGGTTCAAGTGGTTCTCCTACCCTAGCCTTTCAAGTAGCTGGAATTACAAGCATGTGCCACCATGCCCGGCTAATTTTTGTATTTTTAGTCAAGATGGGGATTCACCATGTTAGTCAGGCTGGTCTTGAACTCCTGACCTCAGGTGATCTGCCCACCTTGGGTTCCAAAAGTGCTGTGATTATAGATGTGAGCCACCATGCTTGGCCTTTTTCTTTTTCTTTTTAAAGACAGGCATTACTTAGAGTGGCACTTTTTTTTTTTTTCTTACAAAGACCGGGTCTTGCTGTGTTGCTTAGGCTGTTGAACTCCTGGACTCAAGCAGTCTGCCCACCTCAGCCTCTCAAAGTGCTAGGATTACAGGCATGAGCCACTGCACTGGCCTGGTACCTTTTTTTTTTTTTTTTTGAGATGGATTCTCACTCTGTTGCCCAGGCTGGAGTGCAGTGATGTCCTCTCTGCTCACTGCAACCTCCGCCTCCTGGGTTTAAGCAATTCTCCTGCCTCAGCCTCTCAACTAGCAGGGATTACAGGTGCGTGCCACCATTCCCAGCTAATTTTTTTATTTTTAAGTAGAGATGGGGTTTCATCATGTTGGTCAGGGTGGTCTCGAACCCCTGACCTCGTGATCCACCTGCCTCAGCCTCCCAAAGTAGTGGGATTACAGGCATGAGCCACCATGCCTGGCTTGGCCTGGTACATTTTTTAAATAAGAGGAATTACCTGACACGTGATTATCACCCAGAGTCCATAGTTTGCATTAGGATTCATTCTTGCGTGTGCATATTCTGTGGCTTTTAGTCAGCGTAGAATGACAGTGGTTCACCTTTGCAGTGTCCTACAGAAGAGTTTCACGGCTGGAAAAATCCTCTGTGTTTTTCCTGTTCCTCCCTCCCTCTCCCTAAATCCTGGCAACTCCTGATCTTTCTTCTGTCTCCAGGGTTTTGCCTTTTCCAGAGTGCTGGAATCTTACAGTGTGCTGTACGGTAGATAGCAGTGTTCAGGTTGGCTTCTTTCACTTAGTAATGTTTCTTTTTAAAAAAAAAAAAAAAAAAAAAAAGACAGGGTTTCATCATGTTGGTCAGGCTGGTCTTGAACTCCTGACCTCAGGTGATCCGCCCGCCTTTGCCTCCAAAGTGCTTGGATTACAGGTGTGAGCCACCACAACCGGCCTACTTAGTAATGTTTCTTCTGCATCTTTTCATGGCTCGCTGGCTCATTTCTCCATTTTTAGTGCTAATATTCCATTGTCTGGATGTCCCATGGTGTGTTTATCCGGTCACCTGCCGGGGGATACCCTGGTTGGGAAACCTTATTTTTGCGTGTGGCTGTGGCAGTCAGTGTGATTAGTCCCGTCATCTTGCTTGGAAACAAAAGCCTCATTGCATGTGCATTCTGGAATTTTATTATTGAAATGAGGTTTTTTTGGCTTCTGTTGTTGAGATGGTGTCTTATTCTGTCACCCAGGCTGGAGCGCAGTGGTGCAATCTCGGTTCACTGCAACCTCCGCTTCCCGGGTTCAAGCGATTCTCCCACCCCAGCCTCCGGATTACAGGTGCCCATCACCACACCTGGCTGAATTTTGTATTTTTAGTGAAGACTGGGTTTTGCCATGTTGGCCAGACTGGTCTCGAACCTCTGACCTCAGGTGATCTGCTTGCTTCGGCCTGCCAAAGTCTTGAGATTACAGGCATTGGCCACAGTACCCAGGCAGCCCAGGAGTTTGACAGCAGCTTGGGTAACATAGTGAGACCCCCATCTCTACAAAAATTAAAAAGATTTGGGAGGTATGGTGGCATGCACCTGTAATCCCAGCTATTCTAATGAGGCTGAAGTGGGAGAATCACTTCAGCCCTAAATTTGGAGGCTGCAGTAAGCTATGATCATGCCACTGTACTCCAGCCAGGGCAACAGAGTGAGATCCTGACTCTTCTTCTTTTTTCTTTTTGTTATTTTCGGAGAGAGTCTCACTCTGTCACCAGCCTGGAGCACAGTGTCACGATCTTGGCTCATTGCAACCTCTGCCTCCTGGGTTCAAGTGATTCTCCCACCTCAGCCACCCAAGTAGCTGGAACTACAGGCCCGTTCCACCGTGCCCAGATAATTTTTTGTATTTTTAGTAGAAACGGGGTTTCACCACGTTGGCCAGGATGGTCTTGATCTCTTGACTTCATGATCCACCCGACTGAGTCTCCCAAAGTGCTGGGATTACAGGTGTGAGCCACTGCACCCAGCCACGATCCTGACTCTTTAAAAATTTAAAAAAAAAAAAAAATTTTTTTTACGTACACCCAAAAGTAGCATTAACTAGCCAAGTAATCTGTATTCTCGGAATGTATTTCTTTCCCATAGGTACGACTCCCTCACTGGAGTTCCTGTCAGCCAGCAGAACCTGCTGCTGGAGAAGGCCAGTGTCCTCTTCAACACTGGGGCCCTCTATACCCAGATCGGGACCCGGTGCAATCGGCAGACGCAGGCTGGGCTGGAGAGTACCATAGACGCCTTTCAGAGAGCCGCAGGTATGTCTCCTCTAGGGCTGCCTGGACAGAGCCTGGGGCCTGCCCAGGGCATCAGGGGACCCCCCCACTGAAGAGGGTCTACAGGTCATCCCTCGCAAGGGCCAAACTAGTCTCCATCACTGGTGTAACTCCCCATTAAGAAACTTGCTCAGTGGTTCATACCTGATGGCTGATGCACATGGTGAATCCTGTGGCTGACGATGAATCTTTTCCAAACAAGTGGCCCTTGGGATGGCAGTGCATTGACTGTTTCAACACTGTCATGAAGATCAGAATAACTTTTCCCAAATAGTGAAATTGTAGGCTGCTTTTTTTTGTATTAGGTGTACCTTATCAGTACATATTGCCCTCTGTGCCCTTTGTATCACCTGCATTCTGCCAACTTCTCCAGCTTGTGGTGGGTGATCTCAACCCTTTGTCAAGTGAGGCATTCAAAGGATGTCTCATAGCTCAGGTTCCTTCTTCTGGGAACTGTCTTTTTTATTTTATTTTATTTTATTTAGAGATAGAGTCTCGCTCTTTTCACCCCAGCCGAAGTGCAGTGGCACAATCTCCACTCACTGCAGCCTCTGCCTACTGGGTTCAAGCAATTCTCCTGCCTCAGCCTCCCAAGTAGCTGGGGTTACAGGCACCCGCCACCATGCCCGGCTAATTTTTGTATTTTTAGTAGACATAAGGTTTCCCCATGTTCACCAGGCTGGCCTCGAACTCCTAACCTCAAGTGATCTGCCTGCCTCAGCCTCCAAAGTGCTGGAATTACAGGCATGAGCCACTGCACCCAGCCTTTATTTTATTTTTGAGACGAAGTCTCACTCACTCTGTCACCCAGGCTAGAGTGCAGTAGTGAGATCTCAGCTCAGTACAACCTCCACCTCCCAGGTTTAAGCAATTCTTTTTTTTTTTTTTTTTTTTAAGGGGGAATTTCGGCTCACCGCAACCTCCACCTCCTGGGTTCAGGCAA